TTTAGACCTCTAAGTAAAGGGGACATTTGAAACCCAAAGCAAATATGATCAATAAAGTAACTACCCATGCTGGAATATAGTTAAAATCTCAAAAGAATTGTAGTAATAGAGGTTATTGAAATATTAAAGACCCATACCTTAACTTATAATGCAAACCAATCAGAAACAGAGTAGGTACTTCAGAAACTCATAGAGTCAGGAAATCACTGAATGAAACAACTACTAATCAAGATTACCATAACCTGGAAACCAATATATCTGAATTAAAGAAAAAAGAAGGGTCATCAAATTCAAAATAAATTCAACGAACTCATAATCAGATATTCAGCATTGAAAATACAATAAAATGTATCCTCGGTTGGTCAAAGAAAGATAACAAACCCTGGGGTATAATGGTAAATGAGACTCAGGTAAGACCTTGATTAGAAGACATCAAAATAGAGCCAGGCATGGTAGAACATTCCTATCATCTCAGTACTTGCCATTTAGAAGGAGGAAGACGAGAAATTCAAGGCCTGCCATAGCTACAAAGTGAGCTGGAGGCTGTTCTGGACAACAGCAGACCCTGCATTATTTGCTGCCTATAAAAAAGCACCATTCCTTGGAAGACATACAGAAAGTGAATACATTGTCTTCTCAGCAATTAGAAAGCAGAAGCAAACCGGAGAACCTTCACTCACAGAGAGTAGAGCAAAGTCAAAGGTCATTATATGTCAATACACAGAACAACATAGTACGAACAAAGATGAGAGTAAACTGGTATGCAATGAATATGAGTGCAACCAATTCCACAGAACAATCAATATTGGATGTGAACAACAACACACAAATATAATTAATCATAAAAATACCTTAGTATTCACACCAAAAATATTAACAAGATACTCAATATTTAAGCTACATTATAAATCAAATGACCTTACCAGGCAAGTATAGAAAGCGTGTACCATTCAATAGCAGCAGAATATATATATACATATATATATATCAGAAACTCAGAATTTTCTCCAAATTGAAACATGTTTTAGACAAAAAGCAAATTCCAAACAAATGAATGAAACCAAAAATTAATAAGAGATTTTGTAGAAAATATGGGAATACATAGAGATAAAACACTGTGTTTTGAAAAGATGCCACTGAAGACTTCAAAGGAACTTTGAGAATGGCACATATATGCAGTGGAATTATATGCAATTATAAAGACTGCTGAAATGATGAAATTTATATGTAAAGGGATGGACCTCAAAAATGTACTGAGGGTAATCCAGACCAAGAAACACAAATACCAACTTATTCTCTCTTATTTTTAGATACTAATTCCAGCTCCTTAGATACAAGTGTATAACTTGAAGTAACAGAAGACTAGGAAAATAGAATGGGACCATGGGACAAGGAGGCAGAAGGAGCTCTAGACAAGGTAAGTGGATAGGATGATACAGGGACCATGGAAAGAATAGTGGAAAAGCAGGGAGACTTTAACTGGGAGTGGAGAGAAGGGTAATGCAGAGAATGGAAGGGAGGAGAGATGAGTAATGAATGGTAAGGAGGTGTGTCATTTACTGTTCTATATTAGGATGAAAAGTCACAATCAAGGCAACTTTTTAAAAAGGGAAGCCACAATAGTCCATTATGTCTGAACTTAGAACCTCAAATCCTGATCCAGTGACTTCTTTTTTCCAGGGATGAATGAAAGAAATTCACATCTCCTAGATGTAGGCATTTCAGGCGGATTGGATGGGACAGGTAGTCTGGCACTCGGAAGTCACAGAATACTGAGTGATACACAGCTCAGATGGGAAGGTATGCTGGAGCTAGGGAGCCAAGGACCACCACAAGCAACAATAAGCATATAAGCTTACAGTCCTGCTTCAGGGAAATGTTTCCAAATGTATCAGCTCTGCTCTGGCAAGCGAGGGTTTCTCAGCTGGTGTTTTTTTTCCCAGTATATAAGCTTTGCTCCTGAAGGAGAGGGCCTCCTGGCAAAGTTGCTACAGTTCAGCTTCACTCCAGGGAGAGTGTAGAGCTGAGTGCAACAAGTCTGCTCTGCTAGGGGAAGGTTTCCCCTGCAGAAGTGTTACTGCCCTGATCACTGTGCTCTGCCCAGGGTCATCTCTGCTCCATCACAAAAGATGGTCTTCGCTCATTGAAGGGATTTATTGGGAGGGAAGAATCCTCTGGCAGAGGACAGGTGGTAGCTCCAACAGCCACAAGCTGAATAGACACAGGGTTTATATAGGCCTTTCAGGGTGGGGATTGGTCAGATTTCAAAGCTGAGCTCAGATTAGCTAGAGCTCCTGCTCAAGGATTGGTTAGTTTTCTGCACAGGGTTAGGGTCAGATTTGGCTCTGGTTTTAGGACCAAAGTGTGTTTATTTCACTGGTCATTTTTAGCCTTTTGTCTCTAGTTTTAGGGCCAGGGTGTATTTCTTCCACTGGTTCTGATTCCAGGGACAGAGTGTGTTTCTTTGGCACTGGTTTCAGGGTCATGGTACATTACATTGGTTCTGGTTGCAGGACCAAAGTGTGTTTCTTTGGCTCTGCTCAGGGTGTGTTTCTTTGGCTTGCTCCTTTTCTCTACACTAGAATTGCCCAGTCTTTAACACCAACTGGGAACTGAGAATGAAGATGCTAGAGCCTGTGGAGGAAATTATCATTTAAACCACAACAAGGTATACGGAAACAATACTGATAATATATGTAAATATAAATATGTGCATATGTGGATATATATTTAATGGAGTTGGATAAATGAGGCCATAAAACTTCCAACAAGAGCCATGAATTAGCTAATGAAAATGCCAGTGTCAGTCATAGGAAACGTTCACTCAATTTCTTGGTTGGAGAACACAATCATCCCCCAACAATATAGGCTGTTGTCACTGCTTGGATGATTTTCAGATATTTAAAAAGACTGGCATTTCTGAAGACAATATGTTCTTTGTACAAGGAACTTAGAGGAATTGTTCTTGACCAAAACCTGGTAGCCTTCAATCTGATGAATATCTGTCACAGTAAAGGAAGGTATTATGCAAGCTTCCAGGTGAGGAAAACAAATCAATTGTCCTATTCAGCTGGATAGCACATAAATCACAACAACAATCTGTTCAGCAAGATATATCCAATAATTCAATAGTGATATTTTTATCTTGGGACTAACCAACAGCTGCCTAGTTGGACATACACACAGTCAATGAGAGAGAATTCACGTCTGTTAGTGTAACCTTGCCAACTCTTTATAGATATAGTATAACATATTCAATTCTATTTTAATCATTAAAAATTCTCATGTATGAAAAACCTTTAAAATATTGTACACAACTTGTCTATTGATAGGAGACAAGGAAGACCAAATGCAAACTTGTGATTAGCTTGATTTCTCCAATTTATATAATTAGGGATCCCATGCCCATGGAAACTGTCCTGCCCATAGTGGAAAGTGGATCTTCTCTCACCAATTAACGTAGTTAAATAACCTCAAAAATGCATGCCCAGAGGACCATAACCTAGTGATTCTATAGTATGTCATGTTGACAATTAACAATAATTATTGGGGTTTTATTACATCCATTTCATTTGTCATGTTGGAATATCATTGCTTGATTGGAATGAAACCAGCTGGATTGTAGTGTATTATTTTTCATTGTGTTGTTGAATTTATTTTCCCACTGTGTTTGTCAAATACATTGAACTCTTTCTTCTGCTGTTGCTTTAAAATATATTTTGATAACTTCACACACAAGCATTGAATCTACATAATTCCTGTGCTTTCAACTTCCATTGTATCCCCACTTTCCTCCCAAATTCATATCCTAACCCGTCTCCAATGAATACTCTGTACATTACAATTGGTTCTCTGGCCACTTCAAAGTGATTAATCTACTCAGGAGCTCTTCTCTGGAGGACACTGATTCTTTCTCAGTACCCACTGTCCACTTGTAGTTATTCATTTTCATTCACTTTCACCATTTCCACAAGGTTGAACCTTGTGGAAATTCCCCATCCATGTCAGCATATCAGCTGGTATTATTATTTAGTTGTTGTTCAGGCAATCATATTGTTGAGATTTTGTGGCTGCAGATCTTCTTCCATGTCTAGAAGCTGGAGAAGTTCTGGTTCTCTGGCTCTTACAACCTTTCTGCTTTCCCATGAGCTTTAGAATTAGTTTGTGGTCATGTTACTCATGTTTCAACTGTGGTTAGTCACCCCATCATTAGTTCTCTGCATTATGCCCCATTGTGAATCTCTGTAGTAGTCTCCATCTGTTGCACTGAGATTCTTTTTAGTCAGAGGTGATGCTTTATTTATTACTGAGATATAGATATAGATATAGTTATACTATATTACCTCTGAATCCAATAAAACCCTAAAGTGATTATGATATTTTAAAATGAAGCAATAATGAGATATTTGCTTAGTACAATGAGAACATTTCATTTATTTTCTGCAAAATATTTTTAATTATCTCTCAGAATTTGGCCGTAAGATCCAACTCCCTAAATTGAATTGCCTTTTCATTCTTTGTATTCTCCCATGGCTATTTCATACTAGAAGAAGGAGCTGTCACATCTGAATCATATGCCCAAGAACTGTCTAATAGCAGCAAGGATAAATAATGCTTTCTTTCAACAAATATTTATTGATAACGATAACAGAATAGAGGAAAGCAATATTTTACCAAATCCTCACCAATCTGAAAAAATAAAATTCATGTAATCAAAACTGTGAGACACACTGAATGCCAAGGAAACATTACAGTAACAAGCAGAACAAGAAATACTAGACAAAATACACAAACAATGGATAATACAGTTATAATGCAAAAGCAAATAATTACCTAAAGTGGTAGGCCAGAAAGATATAGAAGAGGGAGAAACTCCTCTCCCCATATCTTGTTTTTAAAAAGCAACAATGAAAAACCCCTGGAACAAAGACAGCCAATGTAATGGTAAATTACTCAGGGCCGCTGTCCAATGTTACTCTCTTAAATATTCTAATAGCAAGAAGCAAAACCCAAGAGAAAATCTGCCATCACACTGCTCTGTTGAGAACAGCAGTAATGTAGCACAACCACATCTGGCACCAAAACTCTGAAGACCCGCCTTCTACCTAACAAAAGAGGAGACCCAGACAACCCCAGAAGCTCAGGAGCCTGCAACAGCAGCTGATCTGACTGACAGTCTCTGGAACACACAATTCAAGCGAAGACTGTGGCGCATGAAAGGACGTTCCATGGTAAGATGACAGTATTTTCATGGTTAAGATTATAGGAGCTAGTGACACATCAGAGCCTCCATCTTTCAAATATACTGGGAAATTGAGGGGCTGCCCAGCTGGTCAGTTGAGAAGTAAAACAGAGCAACACACCATGCTGAGGAGTAGAAAAGTCAGTTTGAATGCACTTCCTCATCTGCCCATGATGAAGAAGAGTGAGCCACATTTTGCCTAAACTTTAGACCCTGAAGTTAGTGTCATTGTGAACAGAAGCATTACTTGTAATATACTCATTACTGGTCACTCTAGAAGGTATGTGCACAGAGTGTAAGAAGTTCCAGGGTGACCAGGGATGTTTTCTACATCCTGGACAGTTGGTAGTGGTGTCTATGAGGGTAGACCAAAAGAAAAGGTATTACAAATAGCTGTGTAATCACAACCCTGGCACTTTGTTTCATGTTCAGTACACATGAAAGCTATAAACAGGGAACTTCAAAATCAGCTATGGTACAAAGTGAAAAGAAATTGAAAAACATTGAAACTTTGAGGACAGAGGAATAAAATTGTGCAGCAAGAAACTAGGAAGTCTCTAGCATTTTCAAGTACACATCAGGGACATCAGTTAAGTCCTTTATTTTAGACATTGTGCCTATTAGAAACAAAATAGACACAATTAGACTACAGGGACCCCACATGATAATTCTTCCCTTAAATTGTTAATGCATTTGTCAGCCATGCTTGCTTTGGCATAATTTCTATCAGTGTGTTGTTTAGCTTTGTGTCTCATCCTCCGCTTAATTAACCAGAACTTTTTTGTTGATTAGTTTTCAGCCATGTCTTCGTTCCCAGTCATGTTTCTCAGTACTCTGCTGCTGTCTTCTATTCTCACTGAGGGAAGGGTAAGTTTAAAATGTACAATTATCTCAGATCTACCAAACAACATTGTGAAATTGTAAACTGTTTGAGAGTATAGGAATCCAGATGATCTGTTGAGGGCTGCATTGTCACTGGAGTCTTGAAGCACTTAAAAGTGCATTCTCTACCACTGACAGGCATAATATCCACCAGTATCATATAGAACTGGACACTTGAAAAGTGAAATGCACTACAAATACATGGTCCTTATGACATCTAAGATGCACATCATGAAGCTTAGATTGCAATACATCCACTGTGAAATGCTAGACACAGACAGAAGAATCCAGCAGCAACACAAGGACCTTGTCTCAAATAAAGTTTAATCTGAGGACCAACAGCCAAAAATATCCTTTAAACTATATAGTGGTGAAGCTTTCTGCAATCTCAAGATATATAACCTCCCTTCTGTTTTTCATTCACATGATTAATAATATTTGATGTTGCATCGTTCATTCAAGATGAAGTCTGTAAAGATGCTATAGTTTATATATATTTCTCAAATGTTGTTGAAGTTTCTGCCCTCCTAATTAAAACTCAACTGATACTCATTATAAAATATATCTTCTCAGAAGAATTATATATGTGTTCATGTAAAGCAAGATAGCATAATAGGTAGAAAATTACTATTATTTGTAGTCTAAGAAAACTCACATTGAGTTTTGATATAAATTTGTTTCAATATCAATTTTGAAATGCAGTGGTTCAGTCTTACAGATGATTAGCATGTGCATTCTTTTTACCAGGATTTGTTAAGTGCTTTAGGTATATTTGTTGAAGCATTCACTAATGCCTTCTGGTAATGGGACCATAAAACGGAAGATATACACATAGTAGACAATTGCTATACTGTATGGTGAGGTCTATGAGGACAGAACTCTGATACTCTAAAAACAATCTTTCAGAACCACCACCAGGTCCTCTCCGGCTCCACGCTGTCTGTCACGCCGCAGCCCACATCCTTCTCCTCCTCCTCCACCAAGGCCACCGTTGCCATGGGAGTGCAGGTGGAGACCATCTCTCCTGGAGATGGACACACCCTCCTAAAGTGTAGCCAGACCAGCGTGGTGCACTACATGGGAATGCTTGAGGATGGAAAGAAATTTGATTCTTCTCAGGACAGAAACAAGCCTTTTAAGTTTATGCTAGGCAAGCAGGAGGTGATCCGAGGCTGGGAAGAAGGGGTAGCCCAGATGAGTGTGGGTCAGAGAGCCAAACTGACAATCTCCCCAGATTATGCCTATGGAGTCACTGGGCACCCAGGCGTCATCCCACCACATGCCACTCTGGTCTTTGATGTGGAGCTTCTAAAACTGGAATGACAGAAGTGGTCGCCTCCCTTTGCTTCTTGCACATGGATCTGCCATGGAGGATCTGGTATGTCCAGACTGGTGCACATGAATCCATGTGGGGCTTTTCCTAATGTCCCACTACTCTTTGTATAGACACCCTACTGAATGTGTTCTGTAATTCTGTCACTCAGCTTTGCTTGGAACACCTCCATTTCCCCTTTCCGCTTTGTATGTGTCTTGACCTAAACTATGCCATAAACCTCAAGTTACCTTGTTTTGGGGGTAAAGATTAAGCTTCAGTCTTTCAGGTCTAGGTTTCCTGTGAAGTATATTGTCAAGTATTATTGACAGCACAAGTGATGGGCTAACTTCAGGATAGGAATTGGTGTTGGGGGTGGGATTTGCAGGAATTTTTATTTTCTTTCATTTAAGTTTTTTGGATGAAAAAATGTCTATTACATATTAAGATAGTCTTGCGGCTGTGCTTCAAAGCCATAGCAAATCGGAGATGCTGGTTTTTGTCCAGTGAGGGAGGTCCTATTAAATTGAAAGCCCTGCCCAAACTGAAGTGGGAAGGAAGAAGCAAGACTTTGCTTCTGACAGTCCTCCCACCTTCTGAAGCCATCTGCCTTTTAAAGCAGGCCCCTTTACTGCTGTGTTGGACACTACAAAACCTGTCCCTGGGTCAGCAGGGACCCCTGAAGCCTTCTTCGTGACCTCGCTTAATTTATTTTTCATCCTATGGCTTTTATAATGATTTTTCAGGACTTTTGCAATCCTGTAACTATCCAAGCTCCAGTTCCTAAATTTTAAGAACTATAATGGAAACTTTAAATTGAAGGTGTTGTTTGTAGACTCACCACCCAATGGACACCCAGGCATCAATATAAATCCTCTAGTGTTCTCTAATAAAATGATACTATATACAGCTTCAGCATCCCCTGGGGTTTGATGCTTGGCTGTCTCTGCTAATCTCAGCTTCCTGGTTTCCCCTCCCCTCCTTCAGTTCCTTCTCATCCTCTGCTGTCCTGTGTAGTGATTTGGTGAGAGAAAGTACGCTTTTGTCCCCTGCCCTCTGTACCACACATACGTTTCAAGATTTATTGTTGTAATAAAAGTGCTTTATGCTGTCTTTTCTCAAAAAATCTTTCTTTGTTCATGGATGAATGAATAACTTGCCTTGCAATACCAGGAAATATATACAATGACCCTAGGATTCTTCACATATGCTTAAAATATTCTGTTACCTGTAGGCCCCCACACTGTTGTGGAAAATCATCTTTAGATCTTGTTCAGACAATTCACAGGCATTGTTCTACACCTGCACTTGATCCTCACACTCATACAAGATAATGTGTCAGTTTGAACCAGAGCCAATAGTTCATCAGTTGCGTGCCTATCATTAACTTGCACAAATTGAGAAATAGTCACTTCACTAGATCAATTTACTGACATCAAATAGACTGGAAGTTTTTTTGTGTGTTAATACCTGAAAACTGGATGTTGAACACCATTGGAGAATGTGTTCCTAATCTGTGAAATAGTCCTGGCACAATACAGTGGGACTCTGGCTCTTTCACTAAGTCAAGTTCTATATAACTCCCTACACCAATGAGTCCGGAGCTCATAAACACTTTCTATCCACTGCATCTTGCCCAAATACAAATGGATAAGTCGTCTTCATGTTTCTTACTATAAATCTTGATATAATAAATTTTCTCAATCTCAGGTTCTGACTCAGACTCAGAAAGAACCCACCATATCTGCTGATCACATGACAAATGTCAAGGCTGTTTTGGACAAGGTAGACTGCCAATGTAAAGGAACTAACACAGAGGACTTGCATAGGGTAGTTTCTGCCTCCCATCAAGATGAAAGATCATCTGAAGACCTGGCCAATGTTAGTAAAAACATGTTACACCTGTCTACAGTCTTGTCTGCCCTGAAAAAATTGTATGCTCCCGAGAACCAAGTGGACTCAGTAAGTTTCTGTTGTAAGGCCCATAGACCTGAAGGAACTGAAACTGCCCATCAGCAAGATAATTCCACATGTATATTCATCTGTACATTGGTAAAACTCTTGAACTTAGTGAGAATTACATTTGTTTCCTATTAAATTTAACTAGAAGCCTCGTTGTTTCCTACCATCTGTGTCTCTTATTAGGTTCTCTTTCAAGTCCTGCATCATATTTAGATAACCACCAACACACAAGGAGAGTTAACACTCTAAATAAACACAATAAACGTAGTAAATAATTCTCTCCTCCTCCAAGTAAAATGCTGAACATATCCAGAGGCAGTAAAGAAAGTGTTCTAAACAAGCTGCAGAGGAAGCAGGCAGCTCTTCTCCTGGAGGCCTGGTAGAGTAATATTTCCCTAACTTGTCAGTATACACACCAACCTTTGAGAGTGGTAGTGAATTCCTCGGAGAATGGATCTCCTTGACAAACTTTTAAAAAATGTTTTTGCTCATTTTTAGTTTCTTTTTATTTAAATTAGAAATAATCTTATTTCACATATCAATCCCAGTTCCCTGTCCCTCTCATCCTCCCATGTCCCCCACCAAATCCCCATCCCACCCCCATCCACTCCCCAGTGAGAGTGAGGCCTTCCATGGGGGATCATCAAATTTGTCTTATCATTTGGGGCAGGGCCTAGGTCCTCCATCATGTCTCTAGGCTGAAAGAATACCTCTCCATGGGTGAATGGGCTCCCAAAGTCCATTATTACACTAGGGATAAATAATGGTTTACTGCCAAGGGCCCCATAGACTGCCCAGGTCTAGTCTCTGAGGGATTCAGTGGCTGGTCTAGGGACCACAGATCAGTGGACTCAAAGAGGGTAAGGTGGGAAGGAGAAAATTGGCACTCACCTCTCCCAGTGGGTGTGGGGCCAAGAAAGACAGCTTGCTTTTTAATTTTATTTTGAATTCCATCTACAGTTTTCCCTCCCACCACTCCTTGTGCCCCCTGCCCATCTCCCCTCCCCATTCCACCCACCATCCACTCCTCTTACCAGGTAAGGGTTCCCATGGGGTTTCAGAATGCCTGGCCAATTAATTTGAGGCAGGGCCAAGCCCTTCCCCCTTGTATTAAGTTTGAGCACATCATCCCACCATCTTATAGCATAAAGTCTTCAAAGCAGAAGAAGGGTCCATATAGTCTACTATTGCTTCCCCTGGAGTTTCTAATGGTGGGCCCTTACCATTTGAATTTGTAATTGTATGTATCTTGTGCCTAATTCCTAGACAGTGATTTGCCATGATGTAGTGATGCTTTTAGTTTACTTGAGGTTTTTTTACTTGGAAGGGCAGAGTATCCACTACCAACCAATGTTTTTTGTATAGTAGAAGACAGTGAATTCTGATTTAAGTGTATATTTACATTGCAGCTTCAAATGCTTTTAATTCTTTTTTAAAATTATTATTTTTTGTTTATACATTCTAACCAAAGATTTCTATCCATGCCTTCTTCCCAACAACCCTCTACTTCCCCTCTCTCTGCCCCCTGCCCCATCCATTCTTCCAGAGCTGTTAGTCTTCATACACAGGCAGGTATCCCACTGATATCAGCTAGCTATGATATATCCAAAATAGAAACACACAGTTGTGTGCTTTATAAATTCACTAGATATATCTTTTTTTTGGTTTTTTAGAGACAGGGTTTCTCTGTGGCTTTGGAGGCTGTCCTGGAACTAGCTCTTGTAGACCAGGCTGGTCTCGAACTCACAAAGATCCGCCTGCCTCTGCCTCCCGAGTGCTGGGATTAAAGGCGTGTGCCACCAACGCCCGGCTTTACTAGATATATCTTAATGAAGTTGTTTCAATTAAGATTATTTATTGCATAAAATATTTTAAACAAAGAACCATAATATATACTTAACATTTAATAGAAAGGGAAAAAGTAATGAAAAATAGGATGAAGCTGAATGAAAACATTACTGAGTGGTAGCAAATAAAAATAGTAACTTTTTTTCATTTTTAAAAGAATTTATTCTTCTGTCATACAATACATCACAACTGCAGTCTTCTCTCCATGCATTTTTTCCCACGCCACCCAAAACTCCTCTCTTCCACAGATCCCCTCCTCCTGCTTTTCTATTCAGAAAAGAGAAGCACTCTCTAGAATTTCAAAGAAAATGACATAACAAAATGTAATAAAACTAGGTCCAAAAGGTCATATCAAGAATAAAGGATAAAGACTAAAGAAGCAACCCAGAGGGAGGGAAAGGTTCCCAAAAGCAGGCAAAAGAGTCAGAGATACTCTGATTCCCACTGTTAGAAGTTCCACAAAACCCCCTAGCTATATAACCACAACAAATGTGCAAAGAACCTAGCACTGACCTATGCAAGCTCCATGATTGCTGCTTTGGTATCTGTGAGTATCTATAAGACCTGCTTAGGTGAATCTGTGAGCCACATTCTCGGTTGTCTTCTACCACACTGCCTCTTACAATTCTTCCTCCCCCTCTTCTGCAGGGCCCTCAAGTTCTACCTAATGAATGTCTGTGGGTCTCTACACCTGTTCTCATTAGCTGATGGAAAAGCCTCTCTGTTAACAATGAGGCTAGGCAAAATTGTATGAATATAGAAGTATTTCATGGGAATCATTTAATTGACTTTTCTTGGCAGTTGTGTTTGGATCTACATTAAGACTCTGGGTTCTCCAGCTTCCATTTCCTGTTGTCTAAGAGGTGGTGGGCCTGGACTCTATTCCATGACCTGGGGCTCCATTTAGATCAGTCATTGTTTGGCTACTCCCACAAGCTCTGAACTGTCATTGCCCCAGTAATATTACAAGCAGGAAAGGTTCTAGATGGAAGGTTTTGTGACTTAGTCCCACCACTGAAAGGCTTGTCTGGTTACACAAGTTGGTCCGTTCAGGCTCTGATCCATATCCTCCATCACTATGAGTCCACACTAGGGTCACCCACACAGGAAGTTTCCACTGTACTAATTTATCACATTGCCTCCCAAATTCCCTGAATTCTATTTTATCTCTTCCAAGACACTCTTCCTCCATCCCTAACTCCCCTACCTGATCCATCTCACTTGCTTGTTTATGGTTGTCCCAAGATATTATGTATTGTTTGTGGCTATTTTGAAGGGTGTTATTTCCCTGAATTCATCTCAACTCATCTACAATTTGTATATAGAATATTTGTATTAATTTTGATACTGATTTTTTTGAAGTTAATTTATGTTCAGCAATTTTGCTCAATGTATTTATCAGATGTACGAGTTCCCTTGTTGAATTTTTGTGGTCACTTATTTATACTGCCATGTCATCTGCAATGCAATTAAATAAATACATTAAAGAATAAATGAATATTTAATAAGCTTAAAAGAAATTCAATGAATTTAGGTTCAGTTATTCAGCATTTAAATACAATTAAAGAATAATCAGAAAGAAAATAACAAAAACTGTGAGAGATAGATAGATAGAGATTGACACATGGTTTTCATTCTACAATATCAATATTTATTTTTTAGCACAAAATTTGCAAGCCAAATTGCTTTCGCTGACCCAACTCAGAATAGTCTCACATTGACCATGGGTGTCCTCTGGCAAACACATATATATTTCATTCCAAGTTGAGTTAATAACCTAGCTTCCACAGAAGACATCACGAGTTGCACAGTAATTCTCCTTTTCTCTTATGTATACTAATACTCTTTTAATATCAATTAGAAACAACTAAATACCAAAAACTCAACAATAAGAATTAAACTGAGTGGTTTAAAATTTTAGCAAAAAATGGACTTTAGTTTTCAACAACAGAGACTTGATACTGGAAAGGTTAATAATATACTTTCACATAAGAAAACTGATGTTAACTTATATCCTCAAAGAAGAAACTTATGAAGTGATGCTAATTACTAGTTGTCTGCTCATTCCACTGCTGGACCATACAATTTCTTTGCTGCCTCTTGACATTTATTGAATTTGACTATAAGGAGGAGAGACTTGTATCATTTTTATTTACAGTCTCCACTTTTCTGGTGTTTGGGTGGTTATCTGAAGATGATGGAGGACTTGAAAGAGAGTCTACTAAGAGGTACCCCAGGAAGGAAGGACACAAGGAAGCTTCTAATTAACTTTAATGGGAAACCAACTCATACATCACTAACTTCAAGAATTCTTTCAAAGGACAGAATGGGAAATAGCTTGTTGGTGACTACCTCTGGTCTCTTGAAGCCTACAGGCCATCCTACTGAAGTTTCTTGGGTCTAATTCAAACTGGTGAGCACAACCACTTTCTCAGGGTAGTCAAAACTGTAGCCAGGTCTAAAGTCTTGTTATCAGAATTAACAAAGTCTTCAAACAATATTTGGTCTTGATGGGAGGTAAAGAGAATGCTCTCCAAGGCCTGTATGATATTTCCTTCACGTTGGCATTCAATCTTGTCCATGCCAGTCTTGATGTTTGTCTTGTGATCGGCAGATGTGATGGGTTCTTTCTGAGTCAGAGTCAGAACCTGAGGTAGAGATAATTTATTATAAGAAGGTTCATATTAAGAAACATAAGACCTACTCATTTGTATTTGTGTAAGGTACACTAAGTTGGGAAGACGCCATGAGTCCATGAGTTATCCTAGAGGATAAAGGAACACTGATTACTTGTCATCTGCAGTTAGATAGGATTTGGCTCAGGGTAAGAGCAAGAGCTCCACTCAGTATTCTATCACAA